GCTGGCTTATCAGTTTCTGAGTATTTTTAGGATCAAAATCAATGGTTGTAAGAGAAGCCCCAGGCGATGGAGGCATTAGAGGGATGAGATCAGTTTCAACTGTAAAATGCTTGGCAAAGAATGAATTTAACAATTCTGCGTTTCCTGACTCCTCCGTAATAAAGCAATTTTTATAACTAAACATAGGCGGAATTACTTGATGCGTCTTGGCAAATGATTTTTGACGAAAGACCTCCGCAACAGATCTAGAAGGATTCGCGCCACTAATGGCTAAGGACCCTCTACGCTAATCTCGCGCGAGCCTCATTTTCGTAGATTATTCAAGCATTTCAGTGATTCCTAGGTGAACTGATAATGAACTCACGGAGGCATCACTAAGCTGTTTCCGTAGCTTTTTAAGTCTGTTTTTAAAGAAATGTGGGACAGTGAAGGAAGTGGCATTAGATTTAAACGTCTTCAGCGGAATGAGCTCGAGAGGACCTTCTGTCACGCACTGAAGCCAATCGTAGAAAAAATTTAGATCATTATTTGGAAAAAGTATCGTGCCAATCGAGAGTGCTCGTAAAGCTTTTTACTAATTTCTTGTTTACTTCAGCATAATCAAAAAAGCTGCGTTTGACTGTCGACTTTACTGAAATGGCAACTGGAAGACGACGATGAATTAATGCATGATTACTTGTAAAAAGGTCACGATGGAAATCCGTAGAGAGAGGGCGGATGCCACTTGTAATAATTAAATCTAATACACCATCGTTTCTGGTCGAAGAGTGAACTAATTCAGACGAATCTGAAATGTGAATAGTATCCAGGAGCTTCTGGAATTTAGGACGGGAAATATGCGTGTGTCAAAAAATTTCTGGCAACTTAAAATCACCTACGGTTATCTTGACATCGAATGAAGTCTTTGCGATTTGGTCAAAGAGTTCACCGGGTTGGCTTTTGTTTCTTGAGTAACATAGAGGATTGCATACACAACCGATTAAGGCTTTCCTGTTTTGTGGGGGATTTACCGAAACGAAACAGAGATGTCCAGAAAAGGAATAAATGTTCAGGTCATAAGATGAATGTGCAAGTAAGGCTCTGATGTAAAGAAAGCAACCACCGCCACGTTTTCCAACATGGTCCTGGCGGTATTGGCTGAGGCAATCTATAGCTGACGCCGAGTGGGAAATTAGAAAGTGAGCCCAAGGTTCTGTAATACACAAAGCATCTGGGTCAAGGTCGAAGGCTACAGTTCTTATTTGTGTCATCTTCTGCACGACTGATCATGCGTTGAGAGGGACTATACTGAGCGTATTCCTAAGATGTGGGTTTCGCTCATTAATACTTATAAAAAAGAAGAGTTGGTGGTGGGAAATTATGCTGTCGGGAATAAGCGAAAGGTGAAAACAAAATTGCTGTGGTCTGAAATTTGTTGAGATATTACCATTAACTAAATATCCAGAGCAATCGGCCTTGATCGTCTACAGATCGTTTGGGGTCGAAATGAGGAGATGACATCACAAACCGTCATAGTAAGCTCTCCTGAAAAGGAATAATAACAGTGGGTTTAGCAACTAATTAAAAACAGTGACCATTAAAGTCCCAGGGAGATTTATCACTTAAAAAGTAACACATTAATCATCTGCCATTAAAGCACACGAGGACCCTTTCCAAACTCCAGAAATTACGTGCTATGGGAGGAAAGAAATAATAATTACATTATGCTTTCTAATGTAATGCTCATGCGTAATTTTGACTCGAATACCGACAATTTGGGCGATGGTCCAAGGACTAGTGAATGATCTTTCCGAAGTAAGGCATCAATGAATGCAAAATAGAGGGGGCGTTTAGACGTAAAGCAAAAAGGCGGCGGGACTACCATGAGGAACTGCGCGTGAAATTAGAGCGACCTCTCAGAGTGAGATCGTCAATAAGCTTAATATTAGACCCATAGTTACTGCGGATCAGGAAACAAAGGCCAGCTTCGACTCTTCCAACCCATAAAAACTTAATGTTTGCCAATCGATGTCTCTCAGTATAAGAAATAATAGGTTCAGTTTGAAAGTGTAGTCTTCGAGTAAAAACCCCTGAATGTTTTTAGTTTTGCTTTAGTTAGAGGCGTTCACTAACCCAAAGAAATGACAGTAATATTCGAGGATGAGAAAAATGAACATTTGACAAAGTTTCTACATCGTTTTCTCCAGGAAAAAATCATCCGATAAGAACGCCACATATCTGCACAGCCTTTGAAGAGATTTGATTTTCATGAAGTGATGTATTAAGCTTATTTGTATAAATTAAACCTGGGTCCTCCATGCTGTAACATTTTGAAAGTGGGTTATTCTGAAAGATTATGGGACCAAAAATACACAAAACTACACTTGGACGAATAAAACTCCATCTCCACACAGAATTCCATTTCGACAAGCATGGTAGATCAGAGTTCATTTTTTTCATAGATTTTGTGGGTGTGCATGTCGCCATGACAGGAGTCTGAAGTCACAGCCAGACCTGATGGGTTGCTCGGGACAGTCGGTAGAGAACAAAAGTATGTATCCAAGTGACGACTCCGCAAATCGCCGTCGCCCACATGCAGCGAATTCACCGGAAAGGCAAAGTAAGGAGAACCATGCTCGCCAGCGGTGTCTGGTTATTCAGGGTTTGTCGGAATCGAATGCAGTCAGACCTGAAGACCGTGTTTCGGAGGACCTTGCTTTTTTTCATGGTCTACTAAATTAGTTACTCCAGGCAGACATTGAAATAAAGGTTCTGATAGCATTCCGGATAGGAAAACGGAGTGAAGACAGGACAGCTGCACAACCACCTCGCCCTCTCAAAATTATGCTGGAGAACAAAGAGCAAATCAAGTCGATCCTCTCTAAAAAAAAACCGACCTCAGAAACACACACAATCAGGTTCTTTTTTTAACCGGACTATTCACCAGCGGAACGGCTGAAACGCCGGGAACTTGTCTTGGAGTTAAAATCAAGACTGAAGTGTGGCGAACACAATCTGGCTATCTTCAAGGGGAAGGTAGTTCGGAAATATATGCCGTTACAGTGGAACCAGCCTGTAATACTAAGAACGACGGCAGCTACTCAGCTAACACAAATACCTTCGTTAAACCACCTGCTCAAGGCGGCAACACAAGTGAGCCCGTAGCGTCCAGTGATCTGAATGAAACAAGGCATATAAATGGAACCCATCAGCCCAGAGAACATGGCGTTCGAAATAACGAAGTAATGCTCAAAACAGTAACAAATGCAACGGGAAATTCGGCTGGTGCAAAACTCAGGTGCTTCTACACGAATGTCCAAAGCCTCATATCGAAACTAGATGAGCTTAAACATTGCCTTACCGAGCTTTCTCCAGATATTTTAGCAGTAACCGAGACCTGGTTGTCCAGAAATACTAGCGATTGCGAAGTAGCCTTACCGGGATACCAAATTTATCGGAGGGACAGATAACATCGTCAGGGCGGTGGTATAGTTGTGTATGAGAATGACGGTCTGGCAGTGTCGGAAAATACCACCCAGTTTGCGTGCGGCATGCAAGCTATTTGGTTGACCATCAAGGCTACCGGTTCCCCGTGTCTCGATGTCCTCATTGTCTACCGACCACCTAGGACAGACCATATCGCCGACAGTCAACTATTAGAGCAGTTGGAGAAATTTTCCAGTCGACCTAACGTCATGATCATGGGCGACTTCAACGCACCAGGAACAAACTGGAATACCCTCCAAGCGTCAGGTCCAAAATCGGCATTCGATTACCGTCTGCTGAACAAAACATTAAAGGCGTCACTCAAACAACATGTCATGTTCCCAACGAGAACACGTGAAGGACAAAGGGAAAACTGCCTGGATCTGGTCTTTACGAAAACACCAGACAGCATAGACGAGATCACCTCCATGCCGCCTCTTTGTCGAAGTGACCACGTGGTGCTTATGTGGGATTATTCGTTATTCTCCATTTCGCATTCTCCAGACCAAAAAAGACGGAATGTTTGGCGAGGCGACTTCAATCAGATGAGGGCAAACTTATCCGGTCTCAACTGGGGCTCGTTGTTTACGGTAAATGCCAACGATGACTGGGAGCTGTTTAAGAATGTCCTTCTGCAGCTTATCAACAACCACTACCCACTGACTAGTGAATAACTGAATAAACGCCCTGGGTGGCTAAATAGGAACCTTAAGAAAGAAATCAACAGAAAGCACAAATTATGGAGAAAATACTGCGCCACTGGGCAAGTTGAATACTTCAACACCTACAAGACGCAGAGGAACAAACTGAGGAATCTGATCATGAAAACACGACGGGAATTCGAGAAGAACTTGCTACAAAAAGCAACGCAGAACCCAAAATTACTCTACAGTTACATCCGACGAAGTACATGGAACAGGCATCAAATCCCCTTAATAAGGACTACTGATGGCGTTGAGATCGCTGATAGTAGGGATAAAGCTGCGTATTTTTCACAGTTTTTCCAATCAGTCTACACAAACGAGTCAAGGTTCATTCCTCCCTCCACAGAAGGACTGCCGACCCCAAGAGTGAGCGATATACTCTTCTCAGAAGGCATTGTCCGAAGAGAATTGGAGGCATTGAACGAATCGAAGTCACCAGGACCAGACGAGATTCCACCCAAGCTTCTCAAGGAACCTGCCAGTGAGCTTTCTGTGCCTTTGTCGATGCACTTTCAAACGTCATTTGACACTGGAACACTTCTTATCGATTGGAAGCTGGCGCGTATTACTCCGCTACACAAAGGAGGTAACAGGGCAGCGACGACAAATTACCGGCCCATAAGCTTGACATGCATTCTCTGCAAAGTGATTGAAAGGATCATAAATAGTGAACTGATGCAATTCCTGGAAGTTCACGGCCTGCTATCGAAATGCCAACATGGGTTCCGGAAGAGAAGATCCTGCACGACAAACTTGCTGCAATCTCTCCAGAGCTGGACCCAAGCTCTCTACGACAGGCACGAGGTCCACATAGCCTTCATCGACTTCCAGATGGCGTTCGACAATGTGCCACACCAGAGGCTCCTACATAAACTTAACAAAATAGGGATCAGTGGCAACTTCCTTAAATGGATTGGAAACTTCCTTGTGGGTCGACACCAGGTTGTCTGCATCGGTCGGGGAAAATCAGACCCTGCTACGGTCGATAGTGGTGTCCCCCAGGGTTCAGTGCTGGGACCCATTTTGTTCCTTATCTACATGGACGATGCCGCAAGAGATGCAGACTGTGAAGTAGCAATGGTTGCGGATGACATGAAGATATGGAGTGTAATTTGGGGTCCTGTCTACGAAGACAGACTGCAGATGAACCTGAATCGGTAGGAGGAGTGGTCAAACCGTTGGCTCCTGCGGTTTAACGTTGCCAAATGTAGCATACTTCGCCTAGGCAACACAGCCAGATCCGCCAGCACAAGAGGCTACTTTCTGGACGGTGCAGCCCTACAAGAGGTTGTAGCCCAAAAGGACCTCGGTGTGCTGACGACCAGTTCCCTAAAGCCATCCGCCTACTGTTCGAGGGTGGCAAAAACCGCAATGTCCGTACTGTAAGCCATCAAGCGTGCGCTTATGGACTTTGACGAAGATGCTTTCTCAAAGACATTCGGAACATTCGTCCGGCCGCACTTAGAGTACGGCATACAAGCTTGGAGGCCGTGGGCTGCTGAGGAACAAAACTGCCTCGAAAGGGTCCAGAGGAGAGCCACGAAGATGGTTAGTGGTCGACACTCCTTTCCTTATGCAACCCACCTAGTAAATCTGAACCTCTTTCCTTTGAGTTACAGGCAACTTCGTGGGGATCTCTTGCAAGCCTTCCGCATTGTTAAGGGGTTGGATTGCAGTCTGGTCTTCGAGGACTTTCTTGAATTTGCTACCCCGACCAACCTCCGAGGTCACCCATTAAAACTGCGCACTCAGCATGCAAGGTTGGATGTACGGAAGTTCTCCTTCTCTGTTCGAGTGGTCAAACCATGGAATGCCCTTCCCGCAGATGTTGTGGTGTCACCATCCATACAAAGGTTTAAAAAGAATCTTGACATATTTATGTTCCGAAATGACGAAGGGCGATGAGAAGTAGAGCTCACCCCCTGTAACCCGTTCTCATTTTGTCCTACAATTATGGGTGTGTTTGATCTATTTCAGCTCAGAACATTTACCTGTATACCACACATTTTTTTACGTTGCAAATAGGGTACTCCAAGGCTTTTGCCTATTTCCCTCAATAAACTGAACTGAACTGAACTGAGTAGGCCCATGCGCTATATGAATGGGCGTGGACAGTGAAGGCGGATACGATGAGTGTGCACAGGGGCTCTTGGCGTTGCGGAATAGGGACACCCTAGCCTTGTGGACCTCCCTGCTGGCTTTGTCAGCGGTGAGCCGGTCGACTTTTTCAACGCTGTTGCAATCTTCACTGCACTTCACCATGCCGGACGGTTCTTTAAGAGGTCTTCCCAAGTCTTGGAGTTTATTTGTAGTCGCATTATGGAATTCTTCGGCGTGTCCTTGTAACGATGCACCAGACTTCCTTGTCGATGATTATCCGTTGCGACATCTCCATGGAAGAGTTGTTTTGGTTGGTGCTCATCGTCCACCATCATGGAATGGCTGATCTATTGTGTTTGCTGTTGCTTCAGCGTGCCATGTATGCTGAGGATTCCAGTCCGTTCCTAAACTTCCGGGTCTGGGATCCTGTCTTGAGACCTTAACACTTGTATCCGTCTAATATAATTGAGATGGCGGCAATTGAGTTTTTGCGCTCGTTTCTTGTAGATCGTTCAGAACTTCGCATCAAAATACGGCATCCTCAAAATGACGGCTTTGTACATTTCGAATTTGCTGTTGAGGAGAAGGCTGGGACGATTTCACGCGGAGTTCTGCCGTTAACCGAAAGCTTCTCCGGCTTTGGTTATCCAGTGGGCCACTTCGTCGTCGATTTTGGTTAAGCATGAGAGGGTGCTACCCTAAGCAGGGGAAGTTGTCCACGGCCTTCAGTTCGGTGCCGTTGACGTAGATGCGAGGAACACTGTATGCAAATTTGGATGACGTTTTATGCCTAACCGTCATTTTGTTGGAGCTGACGGTCAGTCCGAATTTAGGCGCAGCCCGAGGCGAAGACTTTCGTATTCCAATGCATGGCCACTTTTGTCAAGTTCTTCAGCACTTAATTGTCCGTAAAGTGGAGGTCAGGGACAGTAGTCGTAAAGGGCCGCGTCTAGGCCTGCATGTGCCGGCTGTTGAGGAAATGGAGTTCGGCCCTGCAGACGATGCGGATCCTGGATTGCGTTCATCTGTATGGCAGAAAGCACGAGACTAAAGAGGGTATGGGCCAGTACCCAGCCCAACTTCATTTCGTTGGTTGCCGCAAATGCTTCTAAGATGGTCTCGTTGTCGGTGACGCGCGCCATCACCCTCGCGTGGAGCTGACGCTCTATGAGTTTGAATAACCCAAGACAGCCCGATTTCCGCGTAATCTTCACCAGTCCTTCGTGATTCATCGTGACAAAGGTCTTCTTCAGGTCCAAGAAGATAGCGCAGAGATGGGTCCGCCTTCCCTGCCCTTTATCTTGCAGCTGGTTCCGCGATGGCGCCGGAAGCTGCACTGGATTTTCAACAGAATTCCCTGTTCGAGATTGCCGTTGGGATGGTTGAGAATGGTGCAAGTGAAGACCATCCCGGTGATGTTGGCAACAAGACTACTCTGTGGCTGTCAGGCATCTAGCGGTTCCCTTTCCGCTTTTAGAGATGGACACTTATCTGATTCTTGAAACCCAGGGGATCTGCCTCGGCGCCACATCTCCTGAAATAGCGGCGTAAGTTGATTGATCTGTCGGGGACCGCATTGCTTGTTGGCTTCGGTCGAGATCGCGTCAGATCCCGGTGCTTTCCCACAGAGAGTTGGTGAACGGCTCCGATTGTTTCTAATAAAAAATACGGGAGATCCAGGTCTTTGTTGATTTCCGCTTGAGAGAATCGGTCAATGTCAGCGTCAAAGACTGCAGATGGGCGGTTAAGGACACTCCTGAAGCGTTTAACTCAACTGTCCAGAGTCTGCGATTTCTCCGTCAGAACCGTTGTTCCATCGAAACTGAGATGTGGCGCGGTATCTTTAGTTGGGGGCCGTTGAGCATCTTGGATGGGACGAAGTTCTTTGTTTCATTGTGGTCATCATACCCCTGGGATTCCTTGGCTATAGGAGTCATCCATACGTTCTGCATCCCCTCAGTCGCTGGTGCACGAGGTGGCGTTACCGGAAGGAGGTCGCATCGTTGCGTCCGTCCAATGGTCAGTTTAAGCCTTGTGCAGACTGTGCTCCTTTTCGAGCAAGTTTTTGATGGCTGTGTCATCGAACTAGTCATAATGTTGACGACGTGCGCACACGAGGACGTCTAAGATGGTGGATTGGATAGCGTTCCGCAAATGACATCACTGAGTCTCCACAGTGGCGTTGTCTTCCGGGGCCGAAAGTTCTTCCAGGTGCTGAGCCAATCTATTGCCGAAATTTGCACGGTGAACGGACAAAGTCAACGGAACAGTTTTCAGCTTACCTGCTGGTCGCTTAACTTGTGGTAACCTACGGGGCTTTATTCGGCGCCTCATACTGGAGATGACGAGGCAGTGATCTATCGGTCGTCGGAGTCACAGATGGCCTTAGTCACTAAAGCTTCCTTCCACTCTCGCCTTTGGACGAGGACACAATCCACCAGTCACCAGCGACGAGATCGGAAATGCATCTAGGTTGTCTTCTTCTGCATCGGAAAGTAGAAAAAGGTGTTAGCAGAAGGAGGCGGTGTCTTGCACAGGTTCGCAAAAGAAGGGCGCGTAGTTGTCGCAGCTGCCGATTCAGTGGCGGCCCAACCCCCGAACATTAAGTCAACGAAGTCTGTCCAGACGCGTGTGTTGAAGTCATAAAATAAAAGTAGCTTGTCCACCTTCGACACAGTCGCTAGGAGAGCATGAAGATATTCGTCGAACGTAATATTCGCTCTAAATAAGATTATTTAGAGCGATGAATACCCTGCCAGCACCAGCCGCGGCAAGACGTTGCTACGACGCGGCCAATAGTGGCCATTTGGCGCGGCTAAGGCGTGGCCTTCGACACCACAGCCACGTTTGGTCACACCATTCGAAAAAAATGCGTGGCGGCACCCCTCATTCTTCATTTGTCCCTCCACCCTTACATAGCCCCCGTTTTTTACTCGCGAGAGCACTCATTCTAAACTGGCGGCTGTCGCAGTACGATTACATGTCACTGAATCCTCCCAGCCTCGGCTAAACCAAATCAGTGATAAAACCCCGCGTATGCGCACAACCGGACAACCTATAGGTTCTCCCCATTCTCTATTCGTTTCCCCCTTTATGGCTTCCGTTTTTTACTCGCGAGCGCACTCATTCTAGACTGTCGGCTATCGCAGTACGATTACATGTCACTGAATCCTCCCCGCCTCGGCTAAAGCAAATCAGCGATAAACAACCCGCTTAAGTGCACAACCGGACAACCTAGTTAGAGTTCACTCTATCCCACGACATAGGGAAATGGACAGACACTGGTTAGAAACAACGGTTTATTGACAGCCTTACACTCAGTGCAAAAGGCATAATGTCAAACGGAACAAGGCACCGAAATGCGTCTCTCATTACGCAATTAAAAGTAAGTTCTATCAATGTCAGATTATTCCCAGGTCTCCTAAAAATGTGTACCCGCTAAATCGGATATTTGCAATCCCGCAAAAAACTGGTCCATGTATTGATAGAGGACATGGGCTAAAAGGCGTCTGTCATAGTTTTTAATCAAATGCTATGACATTTTGACATTTTTTGTTCTTTAACTGTATTGCAGGCAACCGAAGTTCGATCTACTTGCCGGACCGATTAGTCACAAATGTCTTCCTCCAACTTCTGCCAAACGGTCTCATACCTAGTTTGGGCATGTAAATCCCCATAGGTTCTGAAAGGCTGGTTGTAGACCTACTGGAGTCTGTCGGCTAAATACCATGACGTGGTGGAGCCAAAAGCCCCCGACAATGCCCGTATGACGATAACGATCTGACGATGGAGAGCCTACCAAGCTCTTCGAAGCGTCAGCATCTAAGTTAACCCGTTCCGGTGAGTCCATCCTCTTCTTTAAATAATCAACCCGGATCTCTCAACTTTGCCGATCTGATAACGGCACCCTTTTGTATTGGAGGTCCACTACGGCAATTTTGACGTGCGCGAAACATAGTTTATTGATAAGACATATTAGTCCTCAGCGTTCATGAGCCTATTAGTCACCGATCATTCCATTCAAGTTTTTTCTCCGCCTTGAATATCCCACTTGCCTTCGTTACCTTGCGTTTATTTTCCAATAACACCTATGTTGTTTTAAGCAACTGCAGGCTATGTCTTTTCACTACACACACAAGGATTTTTTGGACCAATTTAAGGCAGCCGAGGGGACTTATAAGCTTAAATCAGTCCTCAATCAAAAAAGTCTCTATAATGCCTCTAATGTCGGCAGACAACCTTCTATTAGACTCTCTTTCTGCGACAGCCGCAGCGTTTGTTGCATTAACTCGGGCCGCGATATTTACATTTATCCCGTTTCCGAATACCAGGTGAGATTAGTAACCATACAAATGTATATGATTATGCCAACATGGTACTGTTTACTGCATTGATTGATATGTATATGTACACGTATCTGTATTCCTGCTTTCAAGGTGTACGAATCCTATGCTACTCCCGGCAAACGGAGTTTTAAAACAAGCCTGCCGGTTAGCCATGATTTCAGCGTATCGTCTCTCCTATTAATTGGATTAAGCGGTGGGGAAATTCACATACTTGATCCATTCCAAAAAGAACCAGGGAAGGTTTTCAATGAAGAGGTATTTATTATTTTTTTCTAAAGTCTCCTTGAAATTTCAGAAGCAAATCGAGAGATCCGCGGTTACGTGCATTCGATGGGTTCCGTACTCGACAAACCACTTCTTGGTTGCACATGCGAGTGGACATATGTATATCTACAACGAACAGCTACCTTGTTGTGTAAACCTGCCTACTTACCAGCAGTTCAAAAAAGGTTCTGGGTTTGCGATTTACACCTGCAAAACGAAGTCAACATGCAACCCAATGTACAACTGGTCTCTGACAGACTTTGGGCTCACCTCTACACTAGACTCTTCAAAACCTCCTTACTCACACCCTCATCAAAATAAGTTACCGGACGATTTCGATGCATCATCCGCCCTTCTTTCGCCTATTAATCAGTTTGCCTTCTCGACTTGTGGCAAGTATTTGGCTGTCGTCACCGAGGACGGGTATATGCGTGTCTTCGACTACCATCGAATGGACATATACGTAAGGACCTTGTTTGATTTACATGTTTCATTAAATCGAGTACGTGCAGAAAATAAATATGAAATGGCCGACCTCCAAACCACATGTCATCTACTGGAGTAGATCTGCGCGTAGCTCATCTAAAACTAGGCATAATTTGTCATCTTATGGATTTCACCATTACCTTTGGGGCTGATACAAGATCTTTCTCTCAAAAGCCACACTGATTGCCTGCATTGCCTCTGGCTGTGAGCTGTACACTATGGTGTTTGTTACCCAAACCGTATTTACTGTACTCGATCTCGTGCTTTAGAGCCGGCGTCATGGGCAGGTGACGTGCATCTGTGGTCATTATTGCCGGCTTTTTAAATCGGTTGCGTTTAATCAGTCCCTTGTTTTAATTCTCCTCCCCAAGCTTTTAACCTAGTTTTGGCGTTATTCTCCGACGTATGATAGTGTCTTGAAGTAGAGAAGCCTGATGCATGGGCTAACATATGATCATCAGATGGTAGTACTAAGAGCGATAAGCCAGAAGAGGGTTTTGCGCTGTTGTTGTTTACCAGGAGAGCAGCTCCACGCGTGGCTGCAATTTAGGTGAAGCTTTACTCTGATGATAGGAGGACAACTGCACCCGATCTCCCCTCCGGTCTTCTCGACCCTGTCTTGACACCGGACCCACGTGGGTGAAAGAGGACAGAGTGCAGTAAATGCAACGCATGTCAGCTACCACTACAAACTTAGTCACTTGCAAGTCGCGGTCCCTGCGCCGGCTTCGCTGTTCATTACGATGGCCGAACTGTCGGTAAGAGTAACTGGCCTTCGCCTGACCCAACTACGATGTACACACAAAACACCTGCAGTCATCAAAAAACGGGTAGAGCCATAGTTGCACAACCATTGCGCCGGGCGGCTTGCTTTAGGGGTGCTTCCTGTAATACGTAGGTTTGAGTTTGGACGATGTGTGAGGTTTTATGGAGGGACCTCTTACCGTTTTGTAATAAGGAAATTACGTGGTCTTCTTTATGAATAACTAATCTGCCGAGAGGTATTGCCGGTACACTGTCTGCAATTGCCCACTTGTTCAACTCGAGAACCTACTTGTTTTTCAGCTACCTTTCAATGAAGACCCACTATTCGTGTCTGTGGACGTGTCTGGTAAGCTACAGTTAAGCTATTGGGTAGGCTCCGCCTACCGAGCTGTTGGTAGCTGGGCTAAAAGTCTAGTGACTGCGGATTATAATGGCGGTAATGGTCCGCATTATGGTTATTATGGTGGTGACGGTGGTGATGTTTCTCCCGACTACTCACTAGCTGCCCTCTATCGTGAACTGGTGCATGCGAAGTTCCAGTGGTTTTGAGTCGCGCCAACGTCCGTTTTCTAGCTGCCTCATCCATGTTTTGCATCCGTCAGGGATCTTTAACTACCATTATCCTGACATTCTCTGCTTGCATCAATGTCCTTTGTTTTTAGGGCTATATGCGATCCTATTTTGGAGGCCTGACTTGCGTTGACTGGTCCCCAGACGGGAAGTTTGTCGTCGTCGGGGGTCAGGATGATTTGATAACTATTTGGTCTTTCTCATCGCAAGCCGTCGTATGCAGGGGCCAAGGACACAAATCATGGATTAACGTGGTCCGTTTTGACCCATTTGTATACCCGACGAAAATGCAGCAAGATTATAGTCAAAAACAGGCCACCGGCGAAGCATCCTGTCCGAACTCAAAGGCACTTACGAACGGCTGTCAGGACAAGGTCGATGCGACACAACATACCGGCAACCCGAATTTTCGTGCATATAGGTTTGTTGCCTTATTGCATTTTGCTACACCTTACATGTCCGTAATGTTGGAGTACAAAACATGTCCATACCAATTGAAGCCGCTGCCATTCTCTTACATTTTCATCCACCTCTGCTTCTAACTTCAATTTCTTGAGCTTATTCGCTGCAATTTTGACCAGGCCACTGCACATTACCATAGATCAATTCCTCCCTAATTGCAAATGGAGTTGACAGTGACAGTGGCCACCCGAGCTTTTGAAAGCACGGCTTCCGCTAACTAACGGTGCCCATAATTTACAGCCACCGCCTATTTTTGCTGCTTTTAAAAGGACTGCTTTCGGGTTTTTTCTAAGCGGCAAGGTATTGTCAGCACCATTATAGAACACGACGTCAGCTGTGTCTGTCCGAAATACCGTTTTCCGATTATCATATGTCATTGTCGTATTCTTGTCCCTATTCCATTGGTTACTTAACATTGGTGGGCGCATCTGTTCGCTACTACTATGTAGTTTGGTTTTTTCCATGTAACCATGTCATAGTTAATAGTTTATAGAACTGATAAGGCTATATTTTCTTTCTTCACATCGGGTTTATTATGTTACACAAAAATGCTGATCGTTTGACTACTTTTCCAAACAGAGTAACTATTTGTACTTTTTCCGAGAGCCACAAAATTACTGTCCCTCAAAAGCAGGAACAGAGATATCCTCTGTCCAAATGCATTTTTTGCAAGGACAACATATATCATGGTCACGGAGAAACGAAACCTTTCGATCAGCGCTCTTCACAAGCATTGCGAGGGAGCATGAATTCTTGATTGAAGTGCAGTGACACATTCTAATCTTAGTAGAGACCTCATTGTTGTCTTTTGCTTTGACAACCAGTATTACATGACGTTTCAGCTTAGATTTGGTGTTACATCCCACACAAATTTATTGTGGATCGACAGTTTGTGTTGGGGCCTAGACGAAAACCACAGAGCTGCCGGTAAACCAACTTTTCTGCCTTACGTGCGCTTACCACTCATTCGCTGTTTCCCATGCAGGCAGTGCACTCATCTTTATAAGAGGAGCTATCGCCACCGTGCCTACCAGAGTTTTTGAGTTTTTGACAGATATCGCATAATTTACTAAACCGACAGTACAGGTACTAGCTAAAAACCCAGACTCGTGTTTCGCCGACTTTCTGCTGCTGGTTGCCACAAATGCTAGGGGGTTCGGCTCATCAGTGGGTTTCCCGGAATTTCCCGTGTGCTTTCTGATGTATATGCCAGTTCCGAAACTTCAGCTTTTTAATTTCCTCAGAAATTAATGCGCCAACTTGGAGTAAATCCTTTGGGCAAACGTTTTTCAGACTCGTTCCAAAAATCTCTACGGATATTTCGACTAAAATTCCTTTACCAGCGCGGGATAAGCGCATAAAATTCATTAGTCGCCAACAGAATTAGTTGGTACCTATACTGTCAGTATGTTTAATTGGGCAATATCTGTATATTACCGACTGCCTATTGAATATTGGACGGTCGTCCCGCTGTAGCTGATGAATTCCGAGGCGATGTACAGGATGTCTAGGGGATCGGATATACTTTGCAGGAATGACACTTCGCATCTTCTTTTCGTGCTTTTTTGCGCGTGCTGGTTGCCTCAATCGACCCCTGCCTGGGGGACATCTCTCATCTGTCGTTCCATAAATCTGTGCTCCGCCTAGTGGCCAAACCTCAATAACCGCTCCAACTGGCGAGCTTTACTAGATACAGATACCCACAGGTTGCGTGGAATTTGTTTCCTGTAGTACACAGAAACCTGCCTTGCTTGTAACGCTAGTAGACAGAAGAAATTTGATGGAGTCATACACATCTGGCACGTCTCTTCATCCGGCGAACTGTATGTGTATATAGACTGCGGAGAGAACACGCCTTTGTTTCGAAGTAAACAAGGGCAAGTCATTATAAGGATTTTATAGAACTTCGACAATGTTGGTGATGTACTTGCTCGCTCCACTCTATCCTTAAACATACGTTCTCGCTGGCCGATGACGAACCTCAATTGGAGTTCAAGTTACGACGGCCTACTACCAGAGTAATTCCGTCGGTCAAGTTTATTGCGATGGCCGCACTCGAAGCAACCAGTTCTGCAAAAATCGTGCCTTTCCAAAGTTCGTCGCGACCCCTTCCATGGCGAAAAGTGCGTATGTTTTTCCTTGCTGTTGCATCTCTTTTGATGTGAAAAGTACTTTAGGAGGATGACCGAACTGATTTCCGATACGCCGTCACCTTGGTCGCTGTTGAGATAGTCGTGGAATTCCTTTTATAGCGAGCAAGTTGATGGTATTTTTGGTGTGCCAATTGCTGATGACTGTTGATGGACATTCCAATGTCTAATCTTTGTATGTATTATTCCGCAAAAGGTATTATGTCAACTTTGTGTAACTGGTATAAAGCTTCCCTCCGCACCTGTCACGACACGGTTTAGTTCTCTACGGACCAAACCAAACTGCGGACACAACCTCAACGCATGGGAAGCCACCCCAGCTACTTCATGTGGCTTGGCTCGGCAGTCGAAACAGTTAGCCGAATGTGGCCGCTAAGTTGATCACAGTTTCCTAGAGCCACCATAAATGACCGATCTCAGTGCGGGGTCAGAGTGGACTACTGTCTGGTGTAGCAAAGCACTCGGAGCCTCCGCCAATTCACAGAAATGACCGCCTTCGAGCATCCCATTCTTTCCAGTTGTGATATTACATGGTGGCTTACAGTTGCAGCCATTGAAGGAGGCGCTGCAGAAACAGCTGCTTTAGTCCCAACAGCAACTGACAGTTCATTCTTACGCGGAGAGAGGCAGGCTCCTAATGGATCGGCTAGTCTCCTTTTGTGTGTATCGCAGGCCGTGCTCACTATCCGCCAGTGTTGTCATGCACACTGCCATTGCATTTTTGCGTTTAACTCCAAGTTCTTTCATTTTATTTCCTCCCCAGTCTCAAACAGTCGGGCTTTTGACCTCAAACGATTTTATTTGCTATTCGTTGGACGGTAATTTTATACTCGTGTTTTTTAAAGTGAGCGCCGTCGGGCACGTTGCGAAATTTCTATACCTAGAGAATGTTGCATCAAATGCCTCATGTCCACCACTGAATGCCTAAACTTTTAGAGTTCCACAGACATCTTCATCGATCGCATCCTGCGTCGTAGGGAGTCTAGGCAATGGCTTGCTGCCAGGGTCCCCGGTCGCGTTTGTCCATACTGTGGTTGAATTGTCTAAGCCAGTGGTGACAAATGAAGCCGCAGTGAATTTTAGATAATATTCCTCACGTGATATTACTACCTTGCCTTATGGTCCTGTTACTCTATCGCCGTCGGGTTTTTATGCTCCCAGTCGTAGGCGGTCACATAACAAATGGGCAGTTTTGTTGTCTTACCCTGCTTGCTCGGGCTGGGTGGCCCGCTTTTGAAAAAACAAACTGGGCTTCACGTTCTTGACTTATCTCCCTCTCGCCGCCGCCGCCGCCGCCGCCGCCGCCGCCGCCGCCGCCGCCGCCGCCGCCGCCGCCGCCGCCGCCGCCGCCGCCGCCGCCACCACCACCACTATTATTATTATTATTCGCCTACTTCGACTGCTTTGACTTAAACAATGCTCTTTCACCCACTGCCCGCACGCCTAGGCTGGGATCTGTAGGTCAGGATACACTTCTCTGTCTTTGGGAGCTGACTGAGGACATCATTCGACAGGGCATCCGATTCTCCACCGCAGCTACACGCGATATCTCCCCTTCTTTGAATAACTGCCTTGTCTTAAACGACTGCGATCCTGACTGCAGAACTCTGCCGTCATCTTCGGCAGGCCTGTGTGACAGGTCCATCCAGTTTGGCCAAAAAAGAAGTCCCATTATACCGCCGTCGGCCACCCTGGTCTCGAGCACCTTACCACGTAGCAAGAGAAAACCGTTTAACTTCATCCTTACCTACAGGCCTAACTCTAAACCTGCTGGTCATTTCCTGCCCGTGGTCACTACCGTCTCGACTGCGGTTGAGAGCCTGGTGGAGTCTGGCAAGTCCTCCACTCTCACCGACAGTGGGGTATCGTTCTCGGGTAACACCGGTCTCTCCAATGACTTCCTCCGTAACGGGGCTCTGCACAATCACGTCCAGCTCTCTTACATATCTCGAGAGTAAGTTGTTCTGTATCGACTGCTTCATCTTTTCTTTGCAGAAACCTACGCAGCTTTTGCCTATATTTTGTGCGAATACCTAGGTCGTTAACAGTGATAAGAGAATGGGGGAAAACCAGACTTCCGCTCTCTCGCAGTAAGTTTAAGTCACTCATCAACGATCTAGAGAATTTGGACGTTTTTTATACGCGGACGAGAGTGTGTCCAGAGTCAAGTGCTATGTTGACAGAGTGACGAATCGGAGAAAACAGTCCCCAGATGGGACTCCTGATTCGGCGGAAGTAAGGTGCAAAAATGTAGAAAAAATGTCGATTTAGCAAAACCGAACACTTCGAAAATTTTCGGTGGTCGAAAAACGACAACCTGCTTGCCCAAAAGTACACGAGCGATTGGCGACCGCAGGACAGTCTGCAAAAACGTCATCGGTGCCCCTCAGTCTCTTCAAATGTTTAAGTATTGAGACCAATAGGTTTAATGAAACAGATATGAATCTCGAATGTGTTGCAGGAGAGGGACACCGCTAATTACAAGGGTCACTAAGACTGGCAGTTCTGGGGACTGCACTTTCAGGGCTAGGTTAATCGAATTTCGGTGAAGTAGAGATGTCGCATAACGTTGTCCACCGAAGCATCCGACAAAGTTCCTAGTGTTAGGGGGCGCTCACCGATCGTTCATTCGGAACTCACTCGTTCCGTTGTGCCTTAAGGGCTCTCTCTCGAGCCCAACCAGCAGCCGCACAGCGGCGCATGATATATAGGCAGAATGATATTACCGACAAAGACAAGGGAGACTGGAATGGCCATTTCTGGCTTATTAGCCGTCGTCAGCCAGCCATACCCAAGCCCGAAGTGTGGAACATCCGAGCCTCGAACTCGCGACCTGTTGGTTTAGAAGTCAACGCCTCTACTCACCGGGCCACGAGCCCGTTGCCCTGTCGGTTTTCGATCGGGAATATACAATGTTAGGGGGCGCTCACCGATCGTTCATACGGAACTCACTCGTTCCGTTGTGCCTTAAGGGCTCTCTCTCGAGCCCAACCAGCAGCCGCACAGCGGCGCATGATATATAGGCAGAATGATATTACCAACAGGTCGCGAGTTCGAGGCTCGGGTGTTCCACACTTCGGGCTTGGGTATGGCTGGCTGACGACGGCTAATAAGCCAGAAATGGCCATTCCAGTCTCCCTTGTCTTTGTCGGTAATATCATTCTGCCTAAAGTTCCTAGTAGCGAACCAGCATGCGGTAATAAAAGGGCCTCAAAGACCGGGATTGCGACTCCTGCTGAGGGCATACAGTGGAATAATGCCCGCTACTTTTGACTGGTCAAATCGCGCTTACATCCATACCCCTTGCGTCACAGGGATTTCTGAAAAATGGACTACTTGGAAAAGTTACTATACCGAAATGCGCCTGGAGGGAGCCTAGTTTCCGGACGTCGTTGATGTTTAAGTTGTCTAGGAGCGCTTTGCGACGTTTATGTAGAATCGCATTTGGGTCCATTGCCTTGTGAGGGTAACCCATTTGTTGCGTGAGGGTGGTCAAGATGTTTTATGGTAGTCATCGGAGTAAAATACGACAATGCAATAGCTTTTGACAATTCTTGCAAAGGGGCATTAAATTAATTTACTACTATAATTAAATGGCAAACAGAGTGTCCTCTTTTTATTGGTGACAGTATGGATGATCGAGATCATCTTAGGTGTTCA